TCACCCAGGGGGCCAGGCATGGTTTCTCCCAAGACCCATCACAAAGGCCCCTACAGATGTGTTCATCTGATTGATGTGTGTGCAGACCATAGACAGGACAGGCAAGAGTCCCCACTGGTGGTTTTCCAAGTGGTCCAGCTTGTACCCTGTCCAAGTCCTCAACCTTACCGATCCTACTTTGCTCAGCAGCTGCTCCTCAGCCTTGCTGAACAGGGCCTTGCTCTGAATGGCTGCAATGGCTTCTGGGTGCAGTTGCCTCATGGCCTGGCAAGCCAGCCTGCTCATGGACAGAAATGAAGGGCAGAGCTGAAAGGAGGGAGTCAAATAATCTGGGTTCCTGCTCCCCAAACCAAGAAGCCTTTGGAACTTAGAGCTCCTAAGCCTAGAGGTCCTTGGTAGAAATAACCTGAGGCTAAGCACAGCACCAAGGCACAGTCCAATGAATGAAGAGGCAATTCATTAAATGGAAGTCATAGTCTCTAAAGACTCAAGTGTGGTGGCACATGCCTGTAATTCCAGCCTGCAGGAGATGGAGGCAGGAGGATTGCTCAAAGTTCAAGGCCAGTCTGAGCTACAGATAAGCTCCAAATCAGCCAGGTATACACAGGAAGACCTGGGCTCCAAACAAGCCAACAGGAAAGAGGCCTGGCTCCGAGACGTCTCCTGGGACCAGCTGCACCCCTCTTCCAGCCCCTCCTCAGCCCATGGCTAAGCTGCCTGCCACTCATTAAGCACTGCCCACCGCTCCCTTTTCCCCAAGCTGAGGCCAACCTGTTTTCTGGTGTCTCTGGGCTATGGCTACAGCTTACGTGGGCGGGTGGCAGGGCTGTGGAGGAGGAGAGCTGGGCGTTCAGCATCAAACCCAGCTCCAAGGACACTGAATTAAGTGACCGAGGAGGAGTACGCTGCTTAGTGCGTGAGCTTATTTGAAACTCTGCTAACACCAGAAGGGTCTGGGGGCTCTGTTGTTTCAGTTCTCTCTCTCTCTCTCTCTGTTTTTCAAGGCAGGGTTTCTCTGTGGAGCCCTGGCTGTCCTGGAACTCGGAGATCCACCTGCCTCTGCCTCCCGAGCGCTAGGGGCTCAGTTCCTCTTCACAGAAGGAACTGTGAGAGGCCAGTGTGGCAAAGTCCAGAGGTGACACTGGTAGACCTGGGGCTCCTGGCCATTTGTGGGCATTTGTTTCCTACGCTGCTTTCTCTACCTTCAGACTCTGCTGTTTCTCTAGAAGGAACTAAAGGAGCTTCTCTATAAAACCTGGCAGGTCCCCAATTATCCCAGAGGACACAAGTCCCCCAGCCCTGCCTCCCAAGCCCCTCCTTTGGGCCCTGGTAGAATCTGGCCGACCTATACCTAGTTCCAAATTTGGGTGGCCCCCAGCACCCCCCTCTCCTGGAGCCAGCCCACTCACTTGGAGATGACAGGGTCGTAGAGCAGGGCGTACCAACGCTCTTGAACTTCCCGGAGGGTGAAGCGGCAGCTGAACTTCACACCCAGGTGGACGGACGTCAGGTCATTGGTCTGCAAGACCCAGACTGGTTTGCTCCAGCCTCAGCACTGGGAAGAATCTTTCCCTTGGAAGCCGTAGGGTCCTACTAAGCTGGTATGGGGGCTGGGATTCGGAGGGTAGGGGAGAAGGGAGCCCCAGGCCCATGGTGGGGTTGGTGGGTGAACTACCTGCAACACAGCATTGATGAGTAGGAGGTCATCTGCAGGCTTCCATCGGCCCAGATCCTTCGTCACCTGAAGTGGCTGTTTGCTTTTCTTCACACGCTTAGTGAGTCCAGGGGCTGGGGCAGGGCTGGGTGGCACAGGAGTACTGGGGGCCTTGGATACCTGGGTACAGGACGACCAGGGAACTCAGAGCTGGTGTCAGAAAGCCGGCCCCAGACCAACCGTGACAGCTGCAAGCTCAGGCAACAGCAGGCCAAGAGCTCAGCTCTCCACCCCCAGCAGATCACTGCTCCGCAACTCTTGACCAGATGGGGTCTTCTCTCCGCTGTGGTACCCTCGGGCTGAGAATGGAAGGTGGGTGGGGAGGATACCAGGGAACTACTCTGGCTGGTGCACTGTCTGGGGCCAGAGCAATGCCACCTGGGGGTTATTTTTACACCCTGCAAAGCTGGGAACAAGCTGTCTGCTCCCAGAATAGATACATGCTCCCTGCCTCCCACACCGAATGTGATACAGGATGCACTGGCAGGGCGGGGAGAGCTGCAGGAAAGGCAGTAGGAAAGACAGGAGGGAGGGATCTAGAGTGGGGGCTGGGACGGCTGGGTCCCCTCCCAGCCTCATCTGTCTGGGGAAACACACACTCCAGCACTCCCTGGCCCCATGTTATTTATACCCAGTTCCTTACCTTCTTCTTCTCACTAGAGGAGGGTTCGCTCCCCGAACAGCGGCCTGATTCCACTCCACTGGCTCCCTTCACCCGGGTCGAGGATTTGGCCAGGCTGCTCTCTACCAGCTCATCATCAAATTTTTTCCTTTTGATGAACCTGTAGGAGGTCCTGCACTGTCAGCCGCCGGCCCCTAACCCAACCTCCAGAGAGCAGCTTCCCAGTGGGAGCTACTGCCCAGCTGCCTCCACTTCCCACCAGTGCCTGGCTCAGTGGACAGGGAGTAACCAAACCCGAGTCCTGAGATGGCAAGCTAGAGACTGTAGCCCTGACAGAGGCTGGTCACCTCTCTCCCCTGTCCTCAATACCACGCGGAGGGACCGGCAGGGAAAGGAAAGGAAAAGGTCAGGCTCAGATGGCCATTTCCAACAAGGGTGAAGGCATGTGGTACCTAATCCCACATGCCTTCCCCTTCCCAGTCCCTCTGAACCCAGACTACCTGGAAGAGCTTCTCCGTTTAGGGATAGTACCCAGGGCCTGGGAGGAGGCTCGCTTCTGCCCCGCCAGGGACTCTTCATCCTCTGAACGGCTGGCGGTACCTGATGCCATCAGGGATGAATCTAGCAGCCCCTGGGAATCTAGAAAAAAGAAAGTGTGAACTCAAGTTTCCCAAGTGCCCTCCTCCTTGCCAGTCCCTTCTGCCTCCTTAAGGCTTGAGGTTTTAAGCTGGGAGTTCCCTGACCATCCAGATCCTATCTGGGCTCAGGCCTGGCCCAGACCTTCCATGCTGGGCAGTTCTCTCAGTGCTGCATGTCATATCGTGGAGCACGTGGTGCTCAGGTCAGACTGGTGATGCTGACACACTGGGCTCTGGGCATAACTGCTCCCTCTGCCATCAAAATGCAACGTGCTAAAGAGCAGCAGCTCGGCAGAAAGTCAGTCAGCTGTGTCTCTGCCAAGAGGTGCATGGGTGGTGCTGGCCCGGGGGGAGGTGCAATGCCCAGCCAGGACCGAAAGACACTTGCGCAAGGCCCGGGGTGGAATCAGCAGATGCTCGGTGCCCGAGCATCTGGGGAGCTGGCCTGGCCTCATACTACCTTTGTCCATCCTCTCACGGTCCCAAAGCCACTGGCTCCAAACCACAGGGCTAGGAGGACCGGTCCCACAGGCTCATCCAAGGATTCTGACCAAGTGAGCTTAGACGCCGAGAAGAGAGTCTGCAAAGGAGAAATAAGGCTCCCTCAGGCTGAGGTTTCTAAACCTACTTCCCACTTCCTTATACCTGCTCATGTTCCCTACTTCCTAAGGTAGGGAGGGCGTATGTAGCAGAAAGGGGCATAAGGTGCCACCTTCAGTTACACTTCGTCAGCAGTGTACCTGGTGTGATGACTCACACCTTTAATCCCAGTACCGGGAGGCAGAGGCAGGTGGATCTCTGTCGAGTTTGAGGCCAGCCTGGGCTACCCAGCAAGCCAGGGCTTCAAATAATAAAAACAAAAATGTAAGTAGCTATGTGGGCGTCACTGAGACCCTGGAGAGTATGATAAAAGCTGCAGACAGAAGATATACTAGGTTCAGAGACCCCTCTAATTTTACCAGCGAGTCCCAAATGAAACATCCTGACTGTCAAACAGGAAGGGCCAAGGGACTCCTGGCTCACATCAGCAGCACAACCCTTCTCCCAGGCCGCAGCCGGGGAGGGTGGCTAGACCTCCCGTGCCTCACTGCACCTTTTCCCCCGCTTCCACTCGCAGATCTGCTTAAGTGGGTGGTACCTTCACAAGACTAAGAAGTGGTTTGGGAACTGTGTGAATGAACACCCACCCACCGCCTTGGGAGAGCCGCTTCTAACCCAAGGGCAACAAACTCAGGTGCAGACTTCCTGGTGGGCTGTCTGCAGGCCCCGCCCCTTCGGACGCGGGTGTCTCTCAAAGTTCCGGCTCTGCCCGTGAGGACGCTCGCGGCTCGCCCTGCTCCGTAGGGTAACCTTACGGCTGGGGGCCGCGGGCACCGCCGGAGAGGGTGAAGGTGCCCAGTCCCACAAGCAACTGGGGCCAAGTCTTTGCCCTCCTTCCCGTCCCTCCGCCCCTCCGCCCGCGAGAGCCCACCCGAGGTGAGGGATCGGTCCAGGTCTGCTTCAGGGACTCTGGGGAGGAGTGGGGATTTAGTCAGCTCTGCAGCTCACAGCGCTGCACCGACTAAACCACCATGCGCTCGCAGTCTGGCTTTGAGCCGCACCGGCTGGAGGTAGCGAACCGGGACCAACTCCCAGCCAAGTCTCACCCCACTTCAAGCATGTCACCTGTGCGCATGCGTAACGCCGCAGGCCAGCTTCTAGCCCCATCAGACTCACGCATGCGCAGATTTTTCGGGGCGATACCGGGGCGGGGCCCCGAATCTGGTTGGGGGGGGGCGTTGTGCCCCGCGGCACACTGTGAAACTCCATCTCACCCCAACTCTACTCAGAACACCAGGAGACGAACCGCGAGGTCTCACCATTCCTAGGCTGCCAGCTCCAACAATTTCTCCGCGGCGACAGGAGCAGCCGCAGGGCCAAAGCCGGCTTCCGTGAGAACCATCTACTTCCGGGTTGCGGAGGCGGGGCTGCGCGATCTTTTCCGGTTCGTCCTGGAAACGGGGGTGAAAGGGGCGTGGCTTGGCGGCCCCGTCGAAACCATTTTGCCGGAAGCCGGAAGTGAAACTGTCCCGATTGGAAAAGGCCCATAGGGAGGCATTGGGCGTTAGTGAATTTTTGTAAGAACCTGAGACGTTTCCCGGTTCGGCCCAGCCCAGGCGACGCCGGGAGGGCGGGACCACAGCGTGAATCTGAGCTTCGTAATTAGCACTAAGCTTGGAGAGTCTCCCAGGACCGAATTTTGTAGTTCTGTCGGCCAGTGACTTTAGATAAAGTATTCTGTCAGGCCCTCTGGTAAGCGCAAGACTTGCTGTAGCAGGGGAGATGTGGCGTACAGTACGATGAGGAGGATTCATGTCTAAGGATGCAGGATGGTGGCCGCGTTCCCAAGGAAACACCCCGAGAGAAGGAACGGTTACGTCAGTGGACTCCACCTAGACTGTGGAGGGCAGTCGTGGGTGCCAGGAGATCAACCGAATCACTTTCAGAGGACAGCGTTCCCTCAGAGAACTACTGGGAAGAACTAGTTTCCAGAGAACAGGAAACGTCGGGAGTTCGGGGCTGTGAGAGGTGCCTAGGAAAGCTAGGGAAACCGGACTTTAATAATTCCGTTTGTTTCATGCCCCCTTCGACGGTCACAAAAGTGTACGAGCTCTGGCAGGCGTAGCTCGTTGGAAGAGCATTTGCCTAACGTGTCTGTCGTCCTGAATTCAAGTGTCAAATGGATGACTTGCCCATCTTGCCCGTGACAGTTTATGACTACCTCTCAGGTTCAAGTCTCCATTTAATTTACTAGGACTAACTTATTTAATGAGTATGTACCTGTTTTATCCCCCTCCCCCCGAAACATTAAGTTTTCTGGTACATGGTGTGCTGGTTAGATTTTGTCAACCTGACATAAGCTAGAGTCATCTGCTGAGAGGGAACCTCAATTGAGAAAAATGCCTCCATCAGATTGGCCAGGTCTGTGGGACATCTTGATTGGAAAGATGTAGGAGGGCTCAGCCTACGGTGGGAGGTACTGACCCTGGACAGGCGGTCCTGTTTTGTAACTGAAAGCAGGGTGAGCAAGCTGTGGAGAGCCTGTCAGTAGAGTTTCCTCCATGGCGTCTGCTTCAGTGCCTGCCTTGAGGTTCCTGACCTGGCTTTCCTCCACACATGGAGTGTGACTTGAAAGTTGGAAGATGAAATAAACCCTTTCCTTCCCAAGTTGCTTTTAGGAGTAGTGTTTTGGTCTCGGCAACAGGAAGCAAACTAGGACACAGTCTGGTGGATGGTGCTAAATATAATGTAGTTTAGTATCTATACTAGACAAGATTAATTGGGTGCTCTTCTCTAACGGGTTATATTTTTTTTAACTAGGAATGGAAGACCTGGGGCGTGCCAGGAAAGCAGTGTATCACCAAGCCACATCACCAGCCCTAACAAGGGATTGGTCTGGTGAAGAACTGGATTGGTATGGTCCAGTGTTTATGAGTTGTCTTTCTTCTTGCTAAGATACGATACCTGATAAAAGCCACTTAAGGAAGGGAGGGGTTGTTTTACCTTACCTTTTGTGATGGGAGAGGCGGCAGCGGCGGCGGTGGGGGGATGCAAAACATGGCAGGGAAGGCATGGTGGCGGAAGTGTGGGGCAACTGCTCATGTTGTGTCCATAGTGCAGAGAGATGAAGGATTGATGCCCTAGACCAGGGAATGGTATCACCTGCATTTAGGGAAGGTCTTCCCATCTCAGTTAAACCTCTAGAAACAGCCTCACAGACACAGACTGTTGTCTTCTAGGTGTCTCTAAATGAGGCTAAAATGACAAGTTTAACTATCACAAATCCGCTCCTGACACTCCAGCTTATCACCTTTACATAGGAACTGTCCATTAGCTGGTTGTGCCACTGGAGCTATGTCAAATACATCACTTTTCTTTCTTGGTTTTTTTTTGTTGTTGTTGTTGCTGTTATTGTCTGTTTTGTTTTGAGGCACTGTTTCTCTATGTAGCCCTGGCTGTTCTAGAACTCACTATGTAGACCAGGCTGGTGGTGGTGGCTCATGTCTTTAATCCCATCACTCAGGAGGCAGAGGCAGGGGGATCTCTGTGTGTTCGAGACCAGCCTGGTCTACAGATTGAGTCCAGCACAGCTTGATCTGTTATACAGAGAAACCCTGTCTTAAAGCCCCCAACACTCAAAAAAAATAAATGAATTATAACATACCCTAAAGTCTCGTGTTCACTTTTTTTTTTTTTTTTTGATTGGATGTGAGATTTATTAGTGAGCATGTTTTGGGATATGGGAGAGCACAATGAAAGCCATCAGGACTGCAGGGTCTGCCACTTGTCCAGGGGACCGTGATTGGGGATGCATTTGACCCCCTAGCCATTGGGAATGAGCTGGTTCTCAACTATCATGTCTAATTCATCTTCATTAAACTTTGTGAAGCCCCACATTATTTACTTTTTTTTTTTTCAGGTTTTTCAAGACAGGGTTTCTCTGTGTAGTTTTGGTGCCTCTCCTGGAGCTCACTCTGTAGACCAGGCTGGCCTTAAACTCACAGAGATCCGTCTGGCTCTGCCTCCCAAGTGCTTGCTGGGATTAAAGGCGTGCGCCACCACCGCCAGCGTAGCCCCACATTATTGAGATGTGGATCTTCTAGAGGCTGGGGAACTTGGCTCTATGCAGGGCCTTGATCACATGTTCCTTATTCTGAAACAGTGCAGATGGACATGATGACCTGGCCATTGTGAACCCTGGCCACTGTGTCCTGGGGCAGCCCACATAGGCAGCAGGCTAAAAGTGTTACCAAGGAGGCTGCTGTTTGCAGCCATTGCACACAGGCCTCCATGAAGAAAGGGACCTGGCCAGCTCAACTGGGTGCAGTCATGTTCATTTCTTTGTCTGTCTGTCTTTCTTTCTCTCTTACTTTCTTTCTTTCTTCCTTCCTTCCTTCCTTCCTTCCTTCCTCCCTCCCTCCCTCCCTCCCTCCCTCCCTCCCTTCCTCCCTTCCTTTCTTTCTTTCTTTCTTTTCTTTTTTTGTTTGTTGTTTGTTGTTGTTTTTGGAGACAGGGTCTCTATATAGCTGTGGCTGTCCTATAACTTACTTGGTAGACAAGGCTGGCATCGAACTCACAGACATCTGCCTGTCTTTGTCTCCCATGTGCTGGGATTAAAAGCATGTGCCACCATGCCTGGCTTCATGTTCATTTCTTAATGCAAAAATGAAGTCAGTTCATTTTTAAAAGACCCCCAAAGTCGGGCGCTCACCAACCTAAGACAGAGTGCCTGTGTGGCCTGGGCAGGCGTCTCCATGACGGGTAAGGTGACCTGCTGACGTCCCACGCAACCTAAGTCAGAAGCTCATTTATTAGTAAAAGGGGGACCTGTAGGGCCCTGGTCCCCATTTTGGGTAAGTGTTGCCTTGCTTGCTGACCTTGACCTTGATATCCTCCCTATGCTAATTCCCTCCTGGGTGCCACCCTCCTGAATGCTTAAGGATTAAAAAAATGCTTAATGTGTATCCTGCATAATGGGCGTTAACAGCTTAGATGCAAGATTGTAAAACATCTGTAGCAAACTTCTGCCCTCCTGGGTTCTCCCATTGTGCTGTAAGCCTGTATTTAAGACCTCTTTCCTCCTTCAATAAATGGCATTCAGCATTAAAAAAATAAAAAATAAATAAATAAATAAATAAATAAATAGAAAGAAAGAAACCTAAGTGGGGGAAGACCCCCAAAGTCTTATAAAGCCTCAGGCAGATCTCTGTGAGTTCAAAGCCAGCCTGGTATACAGAATGAGTTCCAGGACAGCTAAAGCTACATAGAGAAACCCTGTCTCAAAAAACAAAAAAGAAGAAAAGAAAAAAGTATAAAGCCTCAGAGTCTTTATGAGACTCAGGCAATCTCTTAACTGTGAGCCTAGGTAAAATAAAATACAAATTACCCACAATATACAAAGGCACAGAGTAAATATTTCCATTCCAAGAGAGAGTGCTAGGGATGTAGGGAAGATCAGGCCAATGGCTGGAAAAGTGCCTCAATCTGTAAAGTGCTTGCTGTGAGAGATGAGGCCAAAGCAAGACCAAAACCCAACAAGGCAAATACTCTCACAGCTCCATGTCTGGAATCTGGATTCAAGATGGAATGATCTGGGTTCCAACTCTTAAGCAGCCCTGGCCCTCCAGCTTTGCCACCAGAAGCATGTGCAGCTTTTCTCTTGGGCCAGATTCATTCTCTGCCTGCAGCTTTCCTCAACAGATGGTCCACACACAGTCCTAGGTCCCCCAACATCCATTGCAATTTAAGTATTCCTTTTACATCATCATGAAGTGTATTCTCAGGACCTTTGTCTAGGGAACCTGACCCTGCCCTACCTTGCCTGGCCTTAAAGACTTCCTGGAACCTTGCTATAAGCTCCCATGGCTCCATAACTCTTGCATTGTGCATGCTAATATATTGTTTTGACTAAATCTCAATCATTCACGTTCACCAATAAAGACTTGGGAGACAGATGCTGGGGTGAAAACTTGCTAGTTCAGAGAGGAAGAGAAAGCACCCAGCTGATCTTCCTTCCAGAAAGAGCTTTCTCCTATGCCAACCAAAACAAAACTCCTCAAACTGAATGTCCCTCCCTTCTACCTCCTGTGCATCTCTCTATCCGTCCTCCTGACTCCTTCTTACTCTTTATGTTTTTTTCCTGTCAACTGTTTGCTTGCTGCTTGCTCCAACTCTTGACCTGTGGTTGACTTTAATCCTGTTTACAATAAGTAGAAAGCTATTGGATTAAAGGTGCGTGCTAGGGCTGAGCCATACCATAACTAGAAACAGGATTTCCCAGTAAATAATGCAATCTCTGGGTTCACAGTGTGATCAAACATACCAATTAGGAGTTTCGTCCCTGGATGGTGGGATTGAAGGCACTCACCGCCACCACCACCACTTCCTTGTTCAGTGTAACTCTAGAACCCAACTAACTTATAGAGATTCCTGTGTCTCTGCTGGGATTAAAGGCATGGGCTACCACTGCCCTGCTCAAAAAAAAATTTTTTTTTTTTTGAGACAGGTTTCTCTGTAGCTTTGGAGCCTTTCCTGGAAATCACTCTGTAGCTCAGACTGGCCTTGAACTCACAGAGATCCACCTGACTCTGCCTCACAGTGCTGGGATTAAAGGTGTGCACTACCACCACCCAGCTTCTGCTCAAATATTTTATCTTAGTTCCAAACCACTCTAGCTCTTAGAGATGTAGAAAACAAGTTTGAACTATAGTGTCCCTTTGAATTTACTTAAGACATTTTAAATCTCTTAATTGTAATTTAAATACCAAACAAAAATATCCTTTTTATTTATTTTTATTTTTTAATATTATTTATTTTATTTATTTTTTTTTTTGGTTTTTCGAGACAGGGTTTCTCTGTGTAGCTTTGCGCCTTTCCTGGATCTCACTCTGTAGACCAGGCTGGCCTCGAACTCACAAAGATCCGCCTGCCTCTGCCTCCCAAGTGCTGGGATTAAAGGCGTGCGCCACCACTGCCCGGCCCTATTTATTTTATTTAAGAAGAAAACTCAAAAGCTTCTACATCCAAGATGGCATGGGCCACGTGGTAATCTACATTCTAACATGGAATTAAGACATGTGGTTTAAGAAAACCCATTTTTCTATGCATATGAGCGCTCTATTTGTATGTATATCAGCATGACAGAAGAGGGCATCAGAGCCCATGATAGATGGTTGTGAGCTACCATGTGGTTGCTAAGAATTGAACTCAGGACCTGTGGAGGAGCAGGCAGTGCTCTTAACCACTAAGCCATCTCTCCAGCCCAAGAAAACCCATTTTTCATTTCATGCCAGTAAGATAAGTGTGTCTTTGGTAAATTATCATTTGAAATATTAGTTTTTAGTTTTGTTTTTTCACGCCTGATTAAATGGAAGGCATTTGTTAGTCTTTATAAGTTAGTTTGGACTGAATGACCAAGCTGTCTCTTGAACTATCACCTCTCATTATTCAGAAGATCTTTCCTGTTTGAACCTAATCTTTATCAATCTTGTTGGTATCCACAGCTTTTCTTCTCCTGTGGAAACAAAAGCAAAACCTCTTCCCCAATGTAACACCTATCCATTCGGAGGTCAACACATCTTTAAAATATGCAAGATGATTTAATTCAACAATTTTTCTATTATCCAATGTCTTTCTGCAGCTGTTGTTCCTTTCTCATTAGCATTTAAAAATTTAAAGTTAATAAAGCACTGTGTAATCTATCTCTAGGGGTCTTTATTACCCCTTTCTGTTTATATTTATTTATTTAGGGTTTTTTTTTTTGAGACAGGGTTTCTCTCTGTATCTTTGGAGCCTGTCCTTGAATTCACAGAGATCTACCTGCCTCTGCCTCCCAAGTGCTGGGATTAAAGTCGTGTGCCACCACTGTCCAGCCCCCTTTCTATTTATTAAGCATATCTTTTAAAGTGCAATTAGCTCTTTCTATATCTGCTTGTCCTGTAGGATTGTGTGGTATACCTGTAATATGCAAAAAAAAAAAAAAATCTGTTTCATTTTACTAGAGACATACTGGAGCATTGTCAATCTTAATTTGTACAGGTACCACCATAAATGGCCATAACTTCTAATAAATTTGTAATTACAGAATCAGCCTTTTCAGAACTTAATGCAGTTGCCCATTGAAATCCTGAATATGTATCAATAGTATGGTGCATATACTTTAATTTTCCAAACTCTGCAAAATGAAACACGTCCATTTGTCAAATTTCATTCCTTGGAGTACCTTTGGGTTACTTCCTGCAGTTAATGGAGATTGATGATACAGAGAACAAGTAGGACATTTCCTTATAATTTCCTTGGCTTGTTGCCAAATGATGGAAAAATCTTTCTTCAAGCCTTTGCTATTAACATTGTGTTTCTTATAAATTCTGAGGCTTCTAACACATTTCCTATTAATAGCTGATTAATTTCATCAGGACCTGGTAGACCCATGTGGGATCTGATATTGAAGGTCAGTAACTATATTAAGAGTAACTAGCCGGGCGGTGGTGGCGCACGCCTTTAATCCCAGCACTCGGGAGGCAGAGCCAGGCGGATCTCTGTGAGTTCGAGGCCAGCCTGGACTACCAAGTGAGTTCCAGGAAAGGCGCAAAGCTACACAGAGAAACCCTGTCTCGAAAAACCAAAAAAAAAAAAAAAAAAAAAAAAAAAAAAAAAAAAAAAAA